AGGAGAGAGGACAGAGGACTGAGGAGAGAGGACAGAGGACTGAGGAGAGAGGACTGAGGAGAGAGGACAGAGGACTGAGGAGAGAGGACTGAGGACAGAGGACTGAGGAGAGAGGACAGAGGACTGAGGAGAGAGGACTGAGGACAGAGGACTGAGGAGAGAGGACTGAGGAGAGAGGACAGAGGAGAGAGGACAGAGGAGAGAGGACAGAGGAGAGAGGACTGAGGAGAGAGGACTGAGGACTGAGGAGAGAGGACAGAGGACTGAGGAGAGAGGACAGAGGAGAGAGGACAGAGGAGAGAGGACTGAGGAGAGAGGACAGAGGAGAGAGGACAGAGGAGAGAGGACAGAGGACTGAGGAGAGAGGACAGAGGACTGAGGACTGAGGAGAGAGGACAGAGGAGAGAGGACTGAGGAGAGAGGACAGAGGAGAGGGGACAGAGGAGAGAGGACTGAGGAGAGAGGACAGAGGAGAGAGGACAGAGGAGAGAGGACAGAGGAGAGAGAGACAGAGGACTGAGGACAGAGGACTGAGGAGAGAGGACTGAGGAGAGAGGACTGAGGACTGAGGAGAGAGGAGAGAGGAGAGAGGACAGAGGACAGGACTGAGGAGAGAGGACAGAGAGGACAGAGGAGAGAGGACAGAGGAGAGAGGACAGAGGAGAGAGGACAGAGGAGAGAGGATAGAGGACAGAGGAGAGAGGAGAGAGGACAGAGGACTGAGGAGAGAGGACAGAGGACTGAGGAGAGAGGACAGAGGACAGAGGAGAGAGGACAGAGAGGACAGAGGAGAGAGGATTGAGGACTGAGGAGAGAGGACAGAGGAGAGAGGACAGAGGAGAGAGGACAGAGGAGAGAGGAGAGAGGACAGAGGACTGAGGAGAGAGGACAGAGGAGAGAGGACAGAGGAGAGAGGACAGAGGAGAGAGGACAGAGGAGGGAGGAGAGAGGAGAGAGGAGAGAGGAGAGAGGAGAGAGGACAGAGGAGAGAGGAGAGAGGAGAGAGGAGAGAGGACAGAGGAGAGAGGACAGAGAGGACAGAGGAGAGAGGACAGAGGAGAGAGGAGAGAGGAGAGAGGAGAGAGGATAGAGGAGAGAGGACAGAGGAGAGAGGAGAGAGGAGAGAGAACAGAGGAGAGAGGAGAGAGGACAGAGGAGAGAGGACAGAGAGGACAGAGGAGAGAGGACAGAGGACAGAGGAGAGAGGACTGAGGAGAGAGGACAGAGGAGAGAAGACAGAGGAGAGAGGACAGAGAGGACAGAGAGGACAGCGGAGAGAAGACAGAGGAGAGAGGACAGAGGAGAGAGGACAGAGGAGAGAGGACAGAGGAGAGAGGACAGAGGAGAGAGGACAGAGAAGAGAGGACAGAGAGGACAGAGGAGAGAGGACAGAGAGGACAGAGGACAGAGGAGAGAGGACAGAGGAGAGAGGAGAGAGGACAGAGGAGAGAGGACAGAGGAGAGAGGACAGAGAGGACAGAGGAGAGAGGACAGAGAGGACAGAGGAGAGAGGACAGAGAGGACAGAGGACAGAGAGGAGAGAGGAGAGAGGACAGAGAGGACAGAGGAGAGAGGACAGAGAGGACAGAGGAGAGAGGACAGAGAGGACAGAGGAGAGAGGAGAGAGGACAGAGGAGAGAGGACTGAGGAGAGAGGACAGAGGAGAGAGGACAGAGGAGAGAAGACAGAGGAGAGAGGACAGAGGAGAGAGGACAGAGGAGAGAGGACAGAAAGGACAGAGGAGAGAGGACAGAGGAGAGAGGACAGAGAGGACAGAGGAGAGAAGACAGAGGACAGAGAGGAGAGAGGACAGAGGAGAGAGGACAGAGGAGAGAGGACAGAGGAGAGAGGACAGAGAGGACAGAGGAGAGAGGACAGAGGACAGAGAGGAGAGAGGACAGAGGAGAGACTAGATCTTTACGACTGCCCTCTGCACACGTCTGGGACAAGAGGGGATTTCCCTGAACCTGCAAATACACACACACACACAGTCACACATACACACACACGCACACACACTTTCATTTCGCGTGTGTGTGTGTGTGACTGTGTGTGTGCGTGTGTATGTTTGTGTATATGTGTACGTGTGTGTGTGTGTGTGTGTGTGTGTGTGTGACTGTGTGTGTGCGTGTGTGTGTGTGTGTGTGTGTGTGTGTGTGTGACTGTGGAACTAGATGGACCGTGGTGTGTTTGATGAATTTACTGCTCCTGCTGTTCATGAAGACAGGAAGAGAATGTGATGTACACTGTGCTGTTACACACTTTAATCCATGTGAAAACCTAAATACGTTGATTTTAGTTATGTCCAAACTTTAGAATACAAAGAAGTTTTACTGCTGGAACTGTGGAAGACCTTCAAAGAGCAGAGCAGACAGAAGGACGCAGTGAACACAGACCTGCAGACAGAACTGGCACTGGTGAAGGCGGAGAACCAGGAGACCATAGACCACCTGCGGAGAGAGCTGGCAAAAGTGAAGGCGGAGAACCAGGAGAACCATGACACCATAGACCTACAGGAATGGAGCCCATAGATCGCCTGCAGAGGGGGCTTGCACAAGTGAAGGCAGAGAACCAGGACACAAAAGACCTCCTCAACTTCCGTGTACTAGACGGCAACAGCTGCATCGACAAGCAGATGCAGGAGCGAGAGTCGGAGCTAAAGACGCTGGAGGAAAATCTGGCAAACACCCGGAAAGAGTTGGAGGAGTGTAGCGCCAATATCCCCCTGAAAAACTCTGTTATCGCAGAGATGGAGGAGAAGGCCAAACTCAAAGCAGAGAATACACAGCTCCAGACTCAAATACTGGATCAGGAACAGAAGCTGAGAAACCTACACGCTGCGTCAGGAAAAAGACTCACCGCGGCCAGGAATGAGGTCAAGGCGCTGGAGGTGGTGTGTGAGGAGGCAGTGGAGGAGGCCAAGAGGACCTCTGAACACAACATCCAACAGCTGAGGAAGCAGATTGAACTGAAAGACAAGACTATCAGCGATCTGACGGAAGGCGAAAGAGAGTTGGAGGAGTCTCGCACCAGTTACCTCGTGAAAGACTGTTATTGCAGAGATGAAGAAGGAGAATGCCAAACTGAAAGAAGAGAATCAACAGATACATGAGCAATGCTAAATCTGGATTCGAGAGTCATTTACAGACGCCAATGAGACGATGGAGGAGTTGAAGGCCAAGGTTTTGAGTCTGGAAAACTCTGAGAAAAAATGGGGGGAAGAACGCAAAAAGATGGAAAGGATTCAGCAAAGCCATCGAGAAGAGATGCAGAAGTTACAGCAATCCTTGAAAACATCTGAGGAGGAAAGAGAGAAGGCAGAAAGTTGGGTCCGAGAGATATTTGAGGAAAAATGACTTGGCAAAGAACTGACTGAAGAGCAAAGGGCATGCGTCAGAAACCAGGGCAAAAACTTGCACGGGCCGTTAAGAGACTCGGAGGAGTCAGCTCAAAAGCAGACCCAAGACCTCCTCCAACTACACAACCTTCAAATGCAGGACACACAGAGAGATGCAGCTCAGAAGATACAACAACTCCGGACTCAAATACTGCATATGGAACAGCAGCTGAAGAACGAACATGCTGCGTCAGAGAACAGACTCACCGCGGCCCGGAACGAGTACGAGAATGAGGTCCAGGCGCTGGAGCAGGCGTGTGAGGAGGCTGTGGAGGAGGCCCAGAGGACCTCTGAACACAACGTCCAACAGCTGAGGAACGAGCTGAAACACAATGTGATCAGCGATCTGACAGAAACAAAAGTGAAGACTCAGACTCGAGCGACAAGCAGACGACAAACACATGCAGTGTTTAGGTCAGAGCGGCCGCCACACGCCACGGTTAAACAAGACAAACATGTGGTGTTAAGAAGTACACACCTATACCCTCACCGTTCCCCCGCATTCCCAACTCCCATTCCCTAAAATCTGACTGTTTTCACACTGACAACCGATGGAGCAGAAACTAGTAGCTTCTGAAAGTTCCATTCTCACAATTTAGCACATGAACTGTGACAGTGTGAAATTGTAAATAAACTAAAACAAACTCAAACTAAATCAATCCCACTTCCCAAAACAGATACAAAACATCTGAAATATCACAGGGAGAACAGCACTATTTAGAACTTAAACCTTAGTATTTCACAAAACCAGTAGATTAGGTGCATCGGTCTGTCATGATGCTAAAGCTAACAGCTAGTACACTGGTCCCATGGTGTGAGGCCTGGTACGGCTGTGATGGAGACTGCTGGGAACACCCGGTGCTACTGTGGGACGACTCTGAGCTGTCGTTGTGTCCTTAGGCAAGACACTTCACCCGCTTTGCCTTGTGTGAATGTTGTGCATGTGTGAGTGGCAGGTGGTGGTAGGAGGGACCAATGATAGGCAGCCTCACTTGCAACAGTTGGCCCCAGGGCAGCTGTGGCTTGTAGCTCACCACCGCTGTGTATGAATGAACGGTTAATGAGACGTGTTGCATGAAATGTAGAGCGTAGTTCAGGTTGAGTGCAACAGTCTGTGCTCTCCACTAGCACTTTGGTGTCATGACAGGCACTTTATGGACACACCTGAATCACTGAGACTGAAACACAATAGGGTCTGGCTCCGTAGGGTTCAGCTGCTGTTGACTCTGTGATCCTGAGACAAAGATCCTGTCGTAGACCCCAAACCCCCACCCCCCATACCCCACTGCAATACAAAAATATATTGAATAAAAAATAATTATAGTAAACTTATTGTTGTCTGTTTAGTTGAAACAGAAGTAGGCAATATCTTTGTGTTTATATTAGTCTTAAATAGTTATATCTTCCAAAAGCCATCACCAGCGTTTCGGTCCAGAACTCAGAAATCAGGAGAGAGAACGGTATAAGTGGGGTTTCTCTGTGTGTGCACGCATTCTCCAAAACAATGGCAGAGAAAGCAAAGCAGATTTTAGTGCTGCCGACGACTTACACTAAAACACACGCAAAGGCCAAAAACAGAGGAGCCACAACGAAGAGGAGCGACATGGTGAAGAGGAGCGACACGATGAAGAGGAGCGACGTGATGAAGAGGAGCGACATGGTGAAGAGGAGCGACATGGTGAAGAGGAGCGACACGATGAAGAGGAGCGACGTGATGAAGAGGAGCGACATGATGAAGAGGAGCGACGTGATGAAGAGGAGCGACGTGATGAAGAGGAGCGACATGGTGAAGAGGAGCGACATGATGAAGAGGAGCGACACGATGAAGAGAGCGACGTGATGAAGAGGAGCGACATGATGAAGAGGAGCGACGTGATGAAGAGGAGCGACGTGATGAAGAGGAGCGACATGGTGAAGAGGAGCGACATGGTGAAGAGGAGCGACACGATGAAGAGGAGCGACGTGATGAAGAGGAGCGACATGATGAAGAGGAGCGACGTGATGAAGAGGAGCGACGTGATGAAGAGGAGCGACGTGATGAAGAGGAGCGACGCGATGAAGAGGAGCGACACGAAGAGGAGCGACACGAAGAGGAGCGACGTGATGAAGAGGAGCGACGCGATGAAGAGGAGCGACACGAAGAGGAGCGACACGAAGAGGAGCGACACGAAGAGGAGCGACGCGATGAAGAGGAGCGACACGAAGAGGAGCGACACGAAGAGGAGCGACACGAAGAGGAGCGACACGAAGAGGAGCGACGACGAAGAGGAGCGACATGGTGAAGAGGAGCGACGTGATGAAGAGGAGCGACGTGATGAAGAGGAGCGACGTGATGAAGAGGAGCGACATGGTGAAGAGGAGCGACGTGATGAAGAGGAGCGACGTGATGAAGAGGAGCGAGATGATGAAGAGGAGCGACGTGATGAAGAGGAGCGACGTGATGAAGAGGAGCGACGTGATGAAGAGGAGCGACATGGTGAAGAGGAGCGACGTGATGAAGAGGAGCGACGTGATGAAGAGGAGCGACGTGATGAAGAGGAGCGACATGGTGAAGAGGAGCGACGTGATGAAGAGGAGCAGCGTGATGAAGAGGAGCGAGATGATGAAGAAGAGCGACGTGATGAAGAAGAGCGACGTGATGAAGAGGAGCGACGTGATGAAGAGGAGCGACGTGATGAAGAGGAGCGACGTGATGAAGAGGAGCGACATGGTGAAGAGGAGCGAGATGATGAAGAGGAGCGACGTGATGAAGAGGAGCGACATGGTGAAGAGGAGCGACGTGATGAAGAGGAGCGACGTGATGAAGAGGAGCGACATGGTGAAGAGGAGCGACGTGATGAAGAGGAGCGACGTGATGAAGAGGAGCGACGTGATGAAGAGGAGCGACATGGTGAAGAGGAGCGACGTGATGAAGAGGAGCGACGTGATGAAGAGGAGCGACGTGATGAAGAGGAGCGACATGGTGAAGAGGAGCGACGTGATGAAGAGGAGCGACGTGATGAAGAGGAGCGAGATGATGAAGAGGAGCGACATGATGAAGAAGAGCGACGTGATGAAGAGGGGCGACGTGATGAAGAGGAGCGACGTGATGAAGAGGAGCAACGTGATGAAGAGGAGCCACGTGATGAAGAGGAGCGACATGATGAAGATGAGCGACGTGATGAAGAGGAGCGACGTGATGAAGAGGAGCGACGTGATGAAGAGGAGCGAGATGATGAAGAGGAGCGACGTGATGAAGATTAGCGACGTGATGAAGAGGAGCGACGTGATGAAGAGGAGCGACGTGATGAAGAGGAGCGAGATGATGAAGAGGAGCGACGTGATGAAGAGGAGCGACGTGATGAAGAGAAGCGACGTGATGAAGAGGAGCGACACGATGAAGAGGAGCGACGTGATGAAGAGGAGCGACGTGATGAAGAGGAGCGACGTGATGAAGAGGAGCGACATGATGAAGAGGAGCGAGATGATGAAGAGGAGCGACGTGATGAAGAGGAGCGACGTGATGAAGAGAAGCGACGTGATGAAGAGGAGCGACGTGATGAAGAGGAGCGACGTGATGAAGAGGAGCGACATGATGAAGAGCTGCAGTCATATTGGCAACTTAGTGACAGCAGTAGAGGCAGCAGTAGTGGCAGCAGTAGCGGCAGCAGTAGAGGCAGCAGTAGTGGCAGCAGTAGTGGCAGCAGTAGTGAAAGCAGTAGTGGCAGCGCAGTAGTGACAGCAGTAGTGGCAGCAGTAGTGGCAGCAGTAGTGGCAGCAGTAGCGGCAGCAGTAGCGGCAGCAGTAGTGGCAGCAGTGTTGGCAGCAGTAGTGACAGCAGTAGTGGCAGCAGTGTTGGCAGCAGTAGTGACAGCAGTAGTGGCAGCAGTGTTGGCAGCAGTAGTGACAGCAGTAGTGGCAGCAGTAGTGACAGCAGTAGTGACAGCAGTCGTGGCAGCAGTAGTGGCAGCAGTAGTGGCAGCAGTGTTGGCAGCAGTAGTGACAGCAGTAGTGGCAGCAGTGTTGGCAGCAGTAGTGGCAGCAGTAGTGGCAGCAGTAGTGGCAGCAGTAGTGACAGCAGTAGTGACAGCAGTCGTGGCAGCAGTAGTGGCAGCAGTAGCGGCAGCAGTAGCGGCAGCAGTAGCGACAGCAGTAGCGGCAGCAGTAGTGGCAGCAGTAGCGGCAGCAGTAGCGGCAGCAGTAGTGGCAGCAGTAGTGGCAGCAGTAGTGGCAGCGCAGTAGTGACAGCAGTAGTGGCAGCAGTAGTGGCAGCAGTAGTGGCAGCAGTAGTGGCAGCAGTAGTGGCAGCAGTAGTGACAGCAGTAGTGGCAGCAGTAGTGACAGCAGTAGTGACAGCAGTAGTGGCAGCAGTAGCGGCAGCAGTAGTGACAGCAGTAGTGACAGCAGTAGTGGCAGCAGTAGTGACAGCAGTAGTGACAGCAGTAGTGGCAGCAGTAGTGGCAGCAGTAGTGACAGCAGTAGTGACAGCAGTGTTGGCAGCAGTAGTGACAGCAGTAGTGACAGCAGTAGTGACAGCAGTAGTGGCAGCAGTAGTGACAGCAGTAGTGGCAGCAGTAGTGGCAGCAGTAGTGGCAGCAGTAGTGACAGCAGTAGTGACAGCAGTAGTGGCAGCAGTAGTGACAGCAGTAGTGACAGCAGTAGTGGCAGCGCAGTAGTGACAGCAGTAGTGGCAGCAGTAGTGGCAGCAGTAGCGGCAGCAGTAGCAGCAGCAGTAGTGGCAGCGCAGTAGTGACAGCAGTAGTGGCAGCAGTAGTGGCAGCAGTAGTGGCAGCAGTAGTGACAGCAGTAGTGGCAGCAGTAGTGACAGCAGTAGTGGCAGCAGTAGCGGCAGCAGTAGTGGCAGCGCAGTAGTGGCAGCAGTAGTGACAGCAGTAGTGGCAGCAGTAGTGGCAGCAGTAGTGACAGCAGTAGTGACAGCAGTAGTGGCAGCGCAGTAGTGACAGCAGTAGTGGCAGCAGTAGTGGCAGCAGTAGCGGCAGCAGTAGCGGCAGCAGTAGCGGCAGCAGTAGTGGCAGCGCAGTAGTGACAGCAGTAGTGGCAGCAGTAGTGGCAGCAGTAGTGACAGCAGTAGTGGCAGCAGTAGTGACAGCAGTAGTGGCAGCAGTAGTGACAGCAGTAGTGGCAGCAGTAGTGGCAGCAGTAGCGGCAGCAGTAGCGGCAGCAGTAGCGGCAGCAGTAGCGGCAGCAGTAGTGGCAGCGCAGTAGTGACAGCAGTAGTGGCAGCAGTAGCGGCAGCAGTAGTGGCAGCAGTAGCGGCAGCAGTAGTGGCAGCAGTAGTGACAGCAGTAGTGGCAGCAGTAGTGACAGCAGTAGTGGCAGCAGTAGTGGCAGCAGTAGTGGCAGCAGTAGTGGCAGCAGTAGCGGCAGCAGTAGCGGCAGCAGTAGCGGCAGCAGTAGTGGCAGCAGTAGTGGCAGCAGTAGCGGCAGCAGTAGCGGCAGCAGTAGCGGCAGCAGTACAGTAGCGGCAGCAGTAGCGGCAGCAGTAGCGGCAGCAGTACAGTAGCGGCAGCAGTAGCGGCAGCAGTAGCCCCAGCTGTCGTAGAAACATGCTCCATTTTGTGGCGATAACTGCGCATTACCGAGCGTTAGCTTTGAGAAAGACAGCACAGTGAAGCTTTAGCTTAGCCTTAGCCTCTGGTAAACTCTGGTCAGTTATTCTCTACATGTATGAAAGGAAATGAGCAGGAGCCTTCTGCAGTAACGTTAGCTGGTCCTAGTTTCTTATGAATATGTGGCTGCTACGGTCACTTCTGATCCGTAAGAATATCTAATTTTATCGACAGGGATGATGATGTGATTCTGCTCATACACAGCAGGAAGAGGCAGACATCCCACTGAGGAAGCTCGGTGCATATGGTTGTTTCCCGGTGAATTCTCTTCTTGTCTCGAGGCAACGCTCAAACATCCAGTTTTTATCTATAACAATGCGATCTATGTTTGCTGGAAAGAGTGTTGCTTGCACTACATATGAAACTTTAAAACTCCAACATTCTTATCTGCTCCACCCAACGGTTTGGCCTCGTTTCATAACAAACTCTTTGTGTAAAACTTAATTGCAAATAAAATAGTTTTTTTGACTTTTATTAGAAGTGTTGGTTCGTATCTCTCCACGCCCAGATCCTGCAGAAGGTCTTTCTGTGTTTACAAAGTCTCACTGCTGCATCATAAAGAAACAAATCACTGTTTACATCTGCGTCCGTCACACAAAACTTAAACACACGGGTGGAGGTCGAGGGTGGAGGTCGAGGGTGGAGGGTGGTGGAGGTCGAGGGTGGAGGTGGAGGGTGGAGGTCGAGGGTGGAGGTCGAGGGTGGAGGTGGAGGGTGGAGGTGGAGGGTGGAGGTGGAGGGTGGAGGTCGAGGGTGGAGGTGGAGGGTGGTGGTCGAGGGTGGAGGTCGAGGGTGGAGGTCGAGGGTGGAGGTCGAGGGTGGAGGGTGAGGGTGGAGGGTGGTGGAGGTCGAGGGTGGAGGTGGAGGGTGGAGGTCGAGGGTGGAGGTGGAGGGTGGAGGTCGAGGGTGGAGGTGGAGGGTGGAGGGTGGAGGTGGAGGGTGGAGGTGGAGGGTGGTGGTCGAGGGTGGAGGTCGAGGGTGGAGGTCGAGGGTGGAGGTCGAGGGTGGAGGTCGAGGGTGGCCAGTGCGCTCTTGTCGCCCCATTCCAGATTGTGTGAACATTTTGCTTCTTTATGACGTGCGCTGGCAACCGCGAAGGGGAAAAGACCTCCATTTGGGACTTTTTTCCCACTTTTCCGACGGCTTTGCCCTCAGAAGTCGGAAATTTGGAACGCTGCGAGTAATTCCTGGACTGCGAATGCGGCGTTCCCACCTGCTCCTGTCGGAAATCTGCTCTGAGAGAGAAAGGTCGAAGTGTGAAGCGGAGAACAACCCGACTCACGTTACAACCGCTTTATTGTTCGCCGCGGATCTAAAATAGCCGCAGTGACCAAAACTGAAGAGTGGTCTTTAGAGGTCAGCGCAGGAGGCGGGAAACACACGCCCAGAGAAGAACCATTTAAATGTGCTTTAAGTAATGTTTATTTGTATAGCGCCTTTCACAGACCAGAGTCAAAGCAGTTTACAATTGTTATTTTCTTTGGGCATTAGTCTCTCGCTCCACACAGAGGTGGGAGGGGCCAGTACAGGAGGCGCAGACCAATTCGGGCGTTCTGCTCTCCCAAAATTCCATCCGATGGGCGGGGGAGCGACTGAATTTTGCGTTGCATTATGGGTAACACTTGCCTTCGCAACTTCCGGTTCTCTCTGCCCGGCGCATTTTCTCTAAATGGTTGAGTGTTTTCGTCATTTTCTGTATGCAAATACATTCCCGTCTCTAACTAGTGGCATATCGCGCAAATCATCCGTCCAATTCACATTCTTCCCTCTTAGCTGAACTTCATTCTCATTGTTACCATCTGTCACTCGCACACACAGCCGTTTTCGTTCACTCTGCTCGCTGTCATCTTCTTCTAAATCTTCATAAACACAATCCGCTCGTTGAACTAGCAACAACAATTCCTCCTTTCGTTTTCCCACACTGCAAATACCCTTTCGCTTCAACCTTTCACGCAATTCAGGCACTGTCAATTGTTTGTTGTTTTCGTGAGCCATATTCGCCATTGTATGAAATCAACCGGAAGTGAACTGGGCAACAAACGGTGTCATTTTTTGATCACAGCGCCGCTCAGTGGATGAAATTTTGGGAGAGCAGAACGCCCGAATTACACATGTTTATAGTGGTAGGGGAAACCGGAGTACCCGGAGGAAACTTACGCAGACACGGGGAGAATATGCAAACTCCACTCAGAAAGGCCCTGGTCCAACTGGGATTTGAACCCAGGACCTTCTTTCTGAGAGGCGAGACACATAACAACAGCAAGGACCTTTAACATTATACACACTGGTCTTGGACTGGTCTTGGACAGGTCTTGGTCTGGTCTTGGTCTGGTCCTGGTCTGGTCCTGGTCTGGTCTTGGACTGGTCTTGGACTGGTCTTGGACTGGTCTTGGTCTGGTCTTGGTCTGGTCTTGGTCTGGTCTTGGTCTGGTCTTGGACTGGTCTTGGTCTGGTCCTGGTCTGGTCCTGGTCTGGTCTTGGACTGGTCTTGGTCTGGTCTTGGTCTGGTCCTGGTCTGGTCCTGGTCTGGTCTTGGACTGATCTTGGACTGGTCTTGGACTGGTCTTGGACTAGTCTTGGACTGGTCTTGGACTGGTCTTGGACTGGTCTTGGTCTGGTCTTGGACTGATCTTGGACTGGTCTTGGACTGGTCTTGGACTAGTCTTGGACTAGTCTTGGTCTGGTCCTGGTCTGGTCCTGGTCTGGTCTTGGACTGGTCTTGGACTGGTCTTGGACTGGTCCTGGTTCTGAGCTGAGTCAGTTTGGTTTTCCTCCAGAGAAGAGCGAGCGCTGGTTTAACTGATTAAAAGTGAGTAAAGGTACAAACTTTCTAAATGACTTACTTTTAATAAAACTTAAAGAAAACAATCTTTTTTGGGGAAATCCCTCAGGATTCTATTGGTTTGAAGAGTTTTATAGTTTCAGAATTCTGGCAGTCCCGTGTTAACAACATTAAGCCACATTATTGACTCATCAAAACTAAAAGATAATGACATTAAAGCTGAACCAGCTCTGAGTCTGTTTGGGCAGAAAAGTTAGGTTCCTCAGCTTTAAGTCAGCAGCATGGATCCCAGAGTGGCACCAACTCTAACCACAGGAAGGTTCAGAGGAACAGTCTAATTTGATAAATTTAGCAAAGAAAAGTTTATTTTTCTTTATCAAAAAGTAAGCTTTAAAGTATGTCTAAGTTCTGTCTAAACTAAACTTGTTCTTTTATATCTTTAAATTCTCCAAATCCCAGCCCCAGCCCCAGCTCCAGCCCCAGCTCCAGCTCCAGCCCAGCGTCTCTCCCAGCGTCTCTCCCAGCGTCTCTCCCACACCCTCGTCCCCCTCGGCCCTTCCTCTCTGTTTCCTGTTTTGACTGAGTGTTGCCTGGATACGGATGTTGGGGGCGTGGTTACAGAGTGTTTCCCCGGCAACACTTCCTTGGTCCACGTGCGCAGACGGACCACAGAGTTCACTGAGGCGGGATATTAATAGTTCTGACGGACGCTCTTTTTACAAGACGCCGAAGCGAAGTTTGGAGCTGAGTCACTGCTGCGTCACTGTTTGGGCCCAAAACATCTGCGGCGCTATGGTTCTGCAGCCACAGACGCCCTGGGGCAGACAGGCAGCAGAGTGGCAGCCTTTATGTTCTTTTGGTCTCTGCACACAACTTTGTCAGCATGAGCGAGATGGAAACACTTTGAATAACACATGTTTTACTGTTTAAAATATTATGTTTAGGCTCATGGGTTAGAATACACACACACACACGCATACACACACACACACACACACACACACACACACAGTCGCCCTCACAAAAATACTCACACTTGGCTGGGGCGTGTTGGTCTTGGGGGGGAATGGCCAAAGACCCAGGGAATGGCTATCATACCTGGACATGGGGTAGACCTGCCTGGCCTAAGACCCAGGGAGTCCTATCTCACTAGTCTCCCCAGAGAAAGGCTGTAGTACAAACAGAGACACACAAAGAGACACACACACACACACACATTCTTTTTTCCGAAACAATACAACTGGTGTTCCTCTGATAATGGTGTGTGTTCAGAATTCTATTATATTCTATTGATTTTCACATAAAAAGAAGAAATACAAGCCTAATGTTTCTGACCATCCATGTCCAGTCCAAGTCAAACATGATCAACATTAAAGGTCCATTGCAAAACCCTTCTGCCTCCAGTCGTGTGTTGCCATGGAGACGTATGGATGGAGTAAGTTTCTTCTTCTTTGGAGGACTCTCTTGGACACAGCTGTGAATCGTGGACCATCAACAGGCGCCGAGTTAGGACTGAGCAGTTTCACATCTGGTCTTATCCATCTGTTCTCTCCGGTCAGTCATCATGTCCTGCATGTAACGTCTGGGTCTGGTCCCTGTGTTTGGGATTACAATCCTGTTTAGACACATGGTACAGTCTCACCCCTGTTTACAGACACATGGTACAGTCTGACTCCTGTTTACAGACACATGGTACAGTCTGACTCCTGTTTACAGACACATGATACAGTCTCACCCCTGTTTACAGACACATGGTACAGTCTCACCCCTGTTTACAGACACATGGTACAGTCTGACTCCTGTTTACAAACACATGATACAGTCTCACCCCTGTTTACAGACACATGGTACAGTCTCACCCCTGTTTACAGACACATGGTACAGTCTGACTCCTGTTTACAAACACATGATACAGTCTCACCCCTGTTTACAGACACATGGTACAGTCTCACCCCTGTTCACAGACACATGGTACAGTCTGACCCCTGTTTATGGACACATGGTACAGTCTCACCCCTGTTTACGGACACATGGTACAGTCTGACCCCTGTTTACGGACACATGGTACAGTCTGACTCCTGTTTACAAACACATGATACAGTCTCACCCCTGTTTACAGACACATGGTACAGTCTCACCCCTGTTCACAGACACATGGTACAGTCTGACCCCTGTTTATGGACACATGGTACAGTCTCACCCCTGTTTACGGACACATGGTACAGTCTGACCCCTGTTTACGGACACATGGTACAGTCTGACCCCTGTTTACAGACACATGGTACAGTCTGACCCCTGTTTATGGACACATGGTACAGTCTGACCCCTGTTTATGGACACATGGTACAGTCTGACCCCTGTTTACAGACACATGGTACAGTCTGACTCTTGTTTACGGACACATGGTACAGTCTGACCCCTGTTTACAGACACATGGTACAGTCTGACCCCTGTTTATGGACACATGGTACAGTCTGACCCCTGTTTACAGACACATGGTACAGTCTGACCCCTGTTTATGGACACTTGGTACAGTCTGACCCCTGTTTACAGACACATGGTACAGTCTGACCCCTGTTTATGGACACTTGGTACAGTCTGACCCCTGTTTACAGACACATGGTACAGTCTGACCCCTGTTTATGGACACATGGTACAGTCTGACCCCTGTTTACAGACACATGGTACAGTCTGACCCCTGTTTACAGACACATGGTACGGACCTCTTTGAAGCCAAGGTTTTAGGAAATAACAACGAAAGGAAGGAAGACATAAAACAGACCAGTACACAACAGTACACAACAGTACACACCAGCACACAACAGTACACACCAGCACACACCAGCACACACCAGTACACACCAGTACACACCAGCACACACCAGTACACACCAGTACACACCAGCACACACCAGCACACACCAGTACACACCAGTAAACACCAGCACACACCAGTAAACACCAGCACACACCAGCACACACAGTACACACCAGCACACACCAGTACACACCAGTACACACCAGCACACACCATCACACACCAGTACACACCAGCACACACCAGTACACACCAGTACACACCAGCACACACCAGCACACACCAGTACACACCAGCACACACCAGCACACACCAGTACACACCAGCACACACCAGTACACACCAGCACACACCAGCACACACCAGTAAACACCAGCACACACCAGTAAACACCAGCACACACCAGCACACACAGTACACACCAGCACACACCAGTAAACACCAGTACACACCAGTACACACCAGCACACACCAGTA